TGAATCTCGGGTTCTGGTTTGGCCGGTCCATATTATTTTCAGGCCACCCTCATAAGTTTATTATAAGATTATTATTGACCACGGCGGAACACAAGGTGAGATGTCGCAGAGTGAAATGGGGTTTACGTCATCAGTAATTCTGCGACCGGCGGAAAACAACATTCACTCACTGCATGTAGATCTCTATTACACCAAGGAAATATACAGTCTTGGTTTTATAACGTACACTGGTAATTCGTGTGTAAACTTACACTCTCTGGTTCCGTAGAGACTTCAACAAATAATCCACCAATGATATCGTCTCATCTTCAGTGAGACCAAGTGCAGGTAACTCTTCCTCTGCCCTGGAAAACAACAGTTTTGTTATTCGTGGTTTAGACTAGAGTAACATGATGGACAACTCCCCCTCTCGCCCATTCAGACTCTCTCTTCCCCCGCTAATAACATGTGTATAAGCAAGCAACTGCTTCTCTGCTCTGGGCTTTGAAATATATGCTAAACGTGATGGAAGTCGTATTTCATACGCACGAAATGAATAAGACAAGCGTTACGGAGAATAGAGGGGTTTTATAAACATAACGTGACAATAAATAATTGTACGAGTCAGATATATTCCACCTAAGTAATTATTCCAGGAATTGCGAAACTGAATTCACAAATCAAGCTTAAATCGGTGTCTTGTTGCTTGTTCGTAACAGTCAAGGGTTCTAACAAGAGGACAATGGCATAGAAAGCAGGGAGAGTTCACCCGTCACTGCCAACGACAGCCAGGACGCGACAATCCCCACGACGCCTGTGATACAATGGCGTCTAATGAAGGGCACGACAGCGAACTATGGAAGTCCCAACGCGCACGGTAACCATATTTTCCTGGAAGTGATTGCTTGGTGTGGATCACACTTCTTGTGTTTATTCTGATGTGGATCAGGGAGTTGAATCAAAGGGTAGAGATGCTGTGTACATGATTTCAATAAAGCCCGTTGAAGTGTCAAAACGTGCCAATCAATTAAGAACCCTCGATTTCATCAGGGAGCGTGGCTCAATGAATATACTTCAGAGCGGTTTCTTGACTAAAGATAACAGAGCTTTAAATACACGACAGTAAAACATAAGACCTGTGAAGATCCGGGGTAGAATAGGTCTTCAGCAACCCATGCTTGCCGTGAAAGACGACTATGCTTGTGGTAAGAGGCGACTAACGGGATCGGGTGGTCAGGCTCGCTGACTTGGGTGATGCATGCCATCGTATCCCAATTTTGTGGATCGATGTTCATGATGTTAATAACTGGATTGTCTGGTCCAGACTCGATTATTTACAGACCGCCATCATATAGCTGGAATATTGCTGAGTGTGGCGTTAAACAACAAACAAAGAAACAAACAGTGAAACATAACGGTTAATTCTAACGTTGTTGAGTGCGGCGTAAAAAACAACACTACCAACCAACCAACCAACCACAAACCTAGAAACATAATCGGGGCGAACTGTGTAGACGTCTTCAATAAGGAATTGTTGGTTTGTTGCATACGCGTCATTGATTAATTTTTGTGAGTATAAAATAATGAGGTAATGTCTGGTTAGGTACTCATATCAAACACGACTGTTACATTTGGAGAGTGAAAAATCAAAAATCAATCTTTTTCAAATAAGATTTCTTAAAATATTAATTAAAACATCCCCAAAACCGATTTTCCGAAATATTTAGTCCTTCAAATATCTTGAACCAGTTATCAGTGCTAAAAGATCGATGGAAAACTTCGATCGTTTTTCCAGCATTTCTTAACAGCCAAATCAAAGAGTACCTGTAGGGTATGTCCGTTACACGATAATTGCAGGTTTTTGTAACCATTTTGTTTGAAGGTTTGAAAGAAAATGTTTGCTAAACTGGCTGGATCTTACGGATGCCATACAATGATTTGTGGCTTGTAGCGTCTCAAAAGTGATTTGCTCTCTCTGCTTTCGAAATGAAACGCAAATTTTGAGAATTGACGGAATGAAAGCGTGTAATCGCTCGAAGTCTTTGCAGAAAATCTGTATTACGATATTACATGTTAAGATGAGGAGAGGGGAAAATGCCAAGTTAAAAAACGCTGCATAGTATTATGAGAGAATAAACAAATAATATGAAAATGCGGGACTAGAATTATGCAGAACAAGTGGTGTCTCTCCTTTTATTATTCGAATCATTCGAAGAAAAGATTTGAAAATAATTATCTCTGAAAAAAAATCATTGATGCATAATATGTATTTAGAGGGATATTATATGCTTTTTAAAGACTAAATACCTAAGATGGGCTTCTGATATGTTCTGTCGAATTTGCCTCAGGATGAGACGGTCATCGCTGCTGTAAAACATAACTCTAAGTCGTAAATAATGTCGTAATACATACATATTAATATCATACATTGTCGATGGGTTTCCACGTAAGTGGGTCGTGGGCGTAGCCTTGTAGTTAAAGCGTTCGCTCGTCATAACGAAGGCCCAGGTTTGTTTCCCAACATGGGTTCAATTATCGAAATTCATGTCTGGCGTCCCCGACGTATATTGCTAGAGTGACACTAAAATCGGCATCAATCCATACTTATGCATCACTCACTCATTACACACTCATCACTCACTCATCTCTCACTCATCACTCACTCATCACTAACTCATCTCCCACTCATCACTCACTCACTCATCTCTCAATCATCACTCACTCATCACTAACTCATCACTCACTCATCACTCGGTAATCACTAACTCATATCTCACTCATCACTCACTCATCACTCACTCACTCATTTCTCACTCATCACTCACTCATCTCTCACTCATCACTCACTCATTACTCACTCATCACTCACTTACTCATCTCTCACTCATCACTCACTCATCTCTCTCATCACTCACTCATCTCTCACTCATCACTCACTCACCACGCACTCATCTCTCACTCATTCATCACTTACTCATCACTCACACATCACTCACTCATCACTCACTCATCTCTCACTCATCTCTCACTCATCACTCACCTCTCACTCATCACTCACTCATCACTCACTCATCACTCACTCAGCATAGGGATATACTCATCTGGGCTTAATTTCTCATTTACATACGTCGTATACAGACATGTTTATGACATTAGATGTCACTTTAAGCAATAATACAGCATTAAGACGGCTGGCGCAAATAACGTCTTCCTACATTTGATCGTGTAAGGTTACAATTCTTAGCCGAGTGAACGCACTATAACCATTAGCGAACCACTACCACACTGAATGAGTGAGTATGGTTGTATGCCGCGTTTAGCAATATTCCAGCAACATCACGGCCCGGGACACCGGAAATGGGCTACATACATTGTACCCATCTGGGAATCAAATCGGGTCTTCGACGTGACGAACAAACGCTTTAATACCTCGGCTGCCCAGTTGGACTTAAGGTTTCGAGGTTTTATTGCTGTACCTTTTGACGGTGAAGGCTGTGCTTGAGACACACAGAGTCAGGAGGCACAGACAGAATAGCCAGGTACTTTCCATGTCACCTGCAACAATAAAACAAACAAATAATCAATCAGTCTTTAACAACATGACACTGACTTGACGAAGAAATGATTTTAATGCCAGAGTATCGCATGTATCGTGACAGAGATATCGATATGCTTCGATATCGATTTGGGAAATATCGCAGATAATTAGATCCTGTTAAGTTTCAAAGGTGGAAGGCTGTGCTCGCGCTGTGGTGACTAAACCTTTGAACCCTTTGGGTGATGGTCGGGTTGGATGCGTGGGCATGTGTATATTGAAACCTCGGGTTCTCCTGACTGACAGCGATAACGCAAGGTGTCTCTAATTTTCACATTTGGTTAGTAATCGTCCCGAGAACCCAACATCTTGCCGAGTTTGTTTGAAGAACAAAGATTTGAAAATTAGCGAGTGATAGTCTATATTTACGCCAAGGTTCAAAGCGGACTTGCCAAGAAAAATATGTATCACTATTTTCAAGCTTTATTCAGCCTGTGAGGACCGGCTGTCTTCATGTTTTGTATCCTGATAAAGAAAACAGAATGTTAACCTCCGAACTGTGCCCAAAGATGTGAAAATGTTCAAACTAAAACTCAACTGCAAATGCCCCAAGTTAAAGGATCCATTGAAAAGGCACTTTTCTATTGCTGTAGGCTTCGTGGCTTTGCCCTACATATCTACTGTGACGTCATGACATTACTACGTCATAAAAAAAGTGGACCGCCTCCGTGGTCTAGTGGTAGAGCGTCCGCCCGGAGAGCGAAAGGTCGGGGATTCCATCCCCGGCCGCGTCATACCAAAAGACGTTAAAAGGTGGTACTTGTTGTTACTCTGCCTAGTGCTAGGCATTAAGGGGCTTCACGGGTTCTCATTAAATGTAACGCAATAAAGTGATTCATCAACAGGTACGGTTGCATACATTTATTTCCTGTCGTACTCAGCAATATGACGGGGGCCAACTGGAGTCTGAACCAGACAAACCAGTGATTGAGGTCATGGGCGACATCCCACGCCGTCGGGGTACTGTGACACGCAATCTACGTTGTCACCGATTCTGACCCTCCCGATCCCTTAAGGCGTCCGGTACGCCGAGTATTGGTTGCTGAAGGTCGGACATTCCCACGGGACTGTACATGTTAACTTGCAGTTCTTGTATTAAGCATTAAATATCATTTATTTTACCTCAGACTGTTATTCTGTCATTTCGAATCCGAAAGGAATATTGACTGTGTAGAACGTAGCAATATTGACTATGTAGAACATAGCAATGTTGATTTCGTAGAACATAGGAATGTTGACTGTGTAGAACATAGGAATGTTGACTGTGTAGAACATAGGAACGTTGACTGTGTGGAACATAGGAATGTTGACTGTGTAGAACATAGGAATGTGGATTTGTAGAACATAGGAATGTTTACTGTGTAGAACATAGGAATGTTCACTGTGTAGAACATAGGAATGTTCACTGTGTGGAACATAGGAATGTTCACTGTGTGGAACATAGGAATGTGGATTTGTAGAACATAGGAATGTTGACTGTGTAGAACATAGGAATGTTGACTGTGTAGAACATAGGAATGTTCACTGTGTGGAACATAGGAATGTTGACTGTGTAGAACATAGGAATGTTCACTGTGTGGAACATAGGAATGTTGACTGTGTAGAACATAGGAATGTTCACTGTGTGGAACATAGGAATGTTCACTGTGTGGAACATAGGAATGTTCACTGTGTAGAACATAGGAATGTTGACTGTGTAGAACATAGGAATGTTTACTGTGTAGAACATAGGAATGTTGACTATATGGAACATAGGAATGTTGGTTGTGTAGAACATAGGAATGTTGACCGTGTAGAACATAGGAATGTTGACTGTGTAGAACATACGAATGTTGATTGTGTAGAACATAGGAATATTGACTGTGTAGAACATACGAATGTTGACTATGTGGAACATAGGAATGTTGACTGTGTAGAACATAGGAATGTTGACTGTGTAGTACGTAGGAATGTTAACTGTGTGGAACATAGGAATGTTGACTGTGTAAAACATAGGAATGTTGACCGTGTAGTACGTAGGAATGTTTACTGTGTAGAACATAGGAATATTGATTGTGTAGAACATAGGAATGTTGACTGTGTAGAACATAGGAATATTGATTGTGTAGAACATAGGAATGTTCACTGTGTGGAACATAGGAATGTTGACTATGTGGAACATAGGAATGTTGACTGTGTAGAACATAGGAATGTTGATCGTGTAGAACATAGGAATGTTGACTGTGTAGAACATAGGAATGTTGACTGTGTAGAACGTAGGAATGTTGACTGTGTAGAACATAGGAATATTGATTGTGTAGAACATAGGATTGTTGACTGTGTAGAACATAGGGATATTGACTATGTAGAACATAGGAATGTTGACTGTGTAGAACATAGGAATGTTGATCGTTTAGAACATAGGAATGTTGACTATGTAGAACATAGGAATGTTGACTGTGTAGAACATAGGAATGTTGACTGTGTAGAACATAGGAATATTGATTGTGTAGAACATAGGATTGTTGACTGTGTAGAACATAGGAATGTTGACTATGTGGAACATAGCAATATTGACCGTGTAGAACATATGAATGTTGACCGTGTAGTACGTAGGAATGTTGACTATGTAAAACATAGGAATGTTGACTGTGTAGAACATAGGAATGTTGACTGAGTGGAACATAGGAATATTGATTGTGTGGAACATAGGAATGTTGACTGTGTAGAACATAGGAATATTGATTGTGTAGAACATAGGATTGTTGACTGTGTAGAACATAGGAATATTGACTGTGTAGAACATAGGAATGTTGCCTGTGTAGAAGATAGGAATGTTGACTATGTGGAACATAGGAATATTGACCGTGTGGAACATAGGAATGTTGACCGTGTAGTACGTAGGAATGTTGACTATGTAGAACGTAGGAATGTTGACTGTGTAGAACATTGGAATGTTGACTGTGTAGAACACAGGAATGGCTTTGGCTCAAAAGGCAATCTACATAGTGGTGGTGGATTGTTGTCAGGGCTGGTGGTGTGTCTAAAAGTAATCTTTTCATGAATAAAACAAGCAGTAAAATTGTGGTAACCGGATACCGGCATGAAGTACAAGAATCAATGGGCTGTATCGTAGAGTAGACAATCCAGCCTGGTTGGAGGTAAAGTCTGCAATACTCAGTTTGGACTGGAATAAGGAGACGACAATGGTGTACCATATGTATCATAACAACTATTCTACCGCCATTCATACACCGTGTGTTATCAGACTGTGAAAAATAAAACAAATAAATATCGGCTGAAATGACTGGCTTGCCAGAGTAAACACTTGACAAGAACGCTTTCTTTTAAAAATTATCCAATCACCCCACACCTGGCTTATCGTTCTATGAAATTTGGTTGAATAATAACTCAATAGCTTGAATAAAATTCACATACTACGCGATCGAATTGAAAAACAATCCGTATTAGTTTGAAAGAAAAACGTCTTTCGACTCTAGCAACCATTAATTCTATGTTGTTTCCAGCTTAGAACCATAGACTTATCTGTCATTATATATTCCAAACGGCGTCCTCCCATTCTGCATGTATCCCATGAACTAATGTTTACATTGATAAGAATAATGAAAGCGACAAAACCCATTCCAAATGTGTATCTGTTGGGTTTTAGATTCTAATTTAAACTAAGGGATATGTCAATTATCATAGAATGAATTTTCCCACTGTTGTGTACTGACCACGGTTGCGCCATATTCATGTTTTCACCCGTAGTATGAAGGTTCATACTCCAATGAGCTCACACAAAGTGAAAGTCAATTCTTATAATTTTTTTATCACAATTTCTTACCTCAAAGGATGTAGGCCAAGATCTAAACGCAATTTTATTTAGTACGTGTGACTTCATGTTTACACTGACAGCCATACAACAACCAGCTATATCGCGGAGTAAAATAGTTCCTCAAAAAGAGAGGTGACATGAGTGTATGGATGCACAACTTGCTCTTCAGGAACATCTTACGCATGTGTTCAAATCATATCCTCATTAGATGAGAAAATTCTGTAAAGAACTACCTCAGTAAGTCAGTCACAATGACAGCGCGTCGTAATACATTTACATCAAGTACAAGACGTCAAAATGGCCGACACGATAAACGTGACGGGAGAGATTTCCGAAGTTGTTAATGAACCTGTGGCGGTTACATGTGTTAGTCATCATTGATCAACTGGCCGATCATTGAAAGGTGATAAGATGCGTCAAACAGACACTAAGGTAAATTCATAGATTGCTGGAGACGGTCAGTGTCAGCCTAGACACGAATCGAGTCGATACTACGATAGTTTAGATGTTAGATGTAGAGGATATTCGTGAACAATCATGCAGTCACGCTCTCTGACATTTCTCAATATATACTGAAACGCTGAGACCAATAATAAAAGTTCTAACTGATCAGAAAGAACACTTATGTATGTTTTCGTGCTAGGGAATTCATAGGGATGTGGAAGTAGTCCGTCAGTGTTTACGTCATTTCAAGAACACGGTCTCGTGAAAAACGTATGAACGTCAAACTGTGTCGTTCATACACTTATGAACGTCAATTTCGCGGTAATGTGACCGATCTCTCGTCCAATGGAAAAGCCGTATATCGTGTAAACTTCAAATTAAAAAAAATATAATATTCTCTCTTTATATGTCTGTAAATGGAAACATATAGTATTACTCACAAAGCAATTTCCACCAATCAAAAATCCGTTTAACCAATACAAAAATAAAAACATACCTGGTATAAGAAGAATGTAGAAAATTTGCTTTGTAGATTTGTTCTAATTATTACCATCTCACAATACAATATTCCTCACATTTTATGCTTCTACGTGAAATGGAAAGTGTTTCAAACAACCTTTTGTCAAAAATAGTTCGCTTTTAATGCAAAGACAGTTATAACTGTTAAACACCTACCATCGGTGTTTGCTTATTTACCATGTACAAATATGGCAATAATAATTAGAACCATACCTATTACCAGAACCTTCGATCTTACATTGTGAGTAGTGTGACTGACAAACATGTAGACAACGGTCAAAGAGACAGATAGTCAAATATGTGTGTTGGAAAAAGGTGTTTTCTCAGACCCGAATTTGAAAAAAAGTGGTATTGGAATACATAATTATCGTAGTCATTATAAATCATGTTTGGTCAATAATTATACAAAACAACGTCAGTTTACCAGGAGGTTCAGTTGTCATGGAGATAATTGGCACCGACGTTATGGTCATGGTGACGATGTTTGTCTTACAGCGTTTGAGGACAAATAGGGAATCACAGAACATTTCAAATAGGCAGCATCTTTGGCATTGGCTAATTCTAAACTTTGGTAAAGTGCAACTCTATAATGGAACCGTTTTCAGTAGGATCTTCAATTATGATTACAAAGTATGACTATAGATGTTCCAAATAGCAACAGTTGGTCGTCTATAACAGATCTAACATATCCGGATTAACGGATTTCACTGTATTTTTGGAATACTTTTATAATATCATAGAACATCGGAACGTAGAACAGGGAGTTATAATTAGGCCTTCACAAAAATATATGAAACTGCCTTACATTTGACACAACATTACCGTATATGGTTACTGATACTAGTGTTTATGGTTATGGGGTATTATTGTCCTATGAATTTAAACTAAGTTTGTACATATAGTGTAATAATTTCATGGAACATTGATGATGGAATGGAACTGTATTGCTCGCCTTATAAATTGACTACAAGTATAATGACGCACCAGTGCATGACGTCATTACGGTATATCACTATATGCAAATAAGCACTGTTAACGCCTAAATACAATGATCAATGAGAAAAAAAACCCTCAGTTACATCGATGCCGATTTATAACATAAATGGATAATAAATAATAAACTTTTATAATAATGAGCTCGTGAGTGTTTTATAATTTTCGATTGAGAAAGCGAAAGTACACACGTGTTTATACTCACAGGCAATACTAATTGATTACAATTGATTATAATATAGAGGTTATCTCTTTAGAGATGCAGTCACTTTCAGACTGTGTACACATCGAATTGCTTGTCAAGACAGATCGGGACAATCTGAAGCCGAAACAGAAAAACGGAATATCACATCAAATGATCTTTGCTTCAAACGCCGTACATTTCCAGTGGGCGATGGCTACTTTACATTTGCACCAAACCTTGTTATATAGAACACAAACATTGCAAGGCAAAAATTAAGTTTGTAAAATATCAGAATGAAGCACTTTGTGGAGAGGCATCGGGCATAGAGTGAAGTTTTTGAATTACTTGCTTCCAAAAGTTGGTTAGTGAATGAATTTATGTTTGTATTAGTCAGCTTAATTTTGGAGGAAAGACTTAAATTAAGCATGGTCCATGAGCACGGTAGTGTGCTGATAAACGTAGAAATATAATCACGGCGAACCGGGATTCGAACCCACGATCATAAGTTTCTAGCATCAAGAACGTAACACAAAGGGGGTTTCGTCGACGACTTGGACGACCAGGCCACCCGTAGCCCTTCAAACATGACAAGAGGCTACATAATAAAATGTTCTCAGTTACTTGTGTTTTGCGTTCCAGTTTCGTGCACGTGATTATCACATGACACAGCACACCCTGGTGGTATTCGGGAACCTTTAAGTTACATAATAGCAGTTAACAATTGTTTCTGCAGTGTAATCAAACTGTTTGCCGTTAAGCACAGAATAACCGATCGTCAAATATATCCATCATGCTATACGGTCCATATGCGGCAGGACCTGATGTTACGCGGTTCCGTTGAATTCATGTAACCTCACTACGCCATTGCTTATGTCACAATATTGAGCAGTAGAAGTGATGTATAGATCAAGAAACACATTCTTAAGTCACAATATAGAACAGTATACGTGATGTCATAGATCAGGAGACACAAACCTACGTCACAACAACAAGTATTGAGCAGAGAGCGGAAAGAGTCGGGTAGTCCCGAGGGTTTCTGCATATTCTAAAGCGAGGCTAACAGGTACAGATCATTAATCACTCAGAATATGGTATTCTCGAAAGAATAATAAATTGTCAGAAATTAGGCATATACAATGATAGGAATGAGATTTGGTTTCAGAGAACCTGCAGAATTGGAATCGTATCGTCACACAAATGAGGCATCATCCATTTATTTCAGTTAATGTCGAAACAGAATGGATTATTACAGACAACGCAGTCAACAAGTTATATCGAATGTGTCTATGAGAAACTCCAGACAAAGATGTCAACAAAGAATCACATGTACATTTAAAGAGGTGAGGTGGAATGGGGTTTGACGCTACGTTCTAGATATATATATACCATGCCGCAGATACAGTATACCGTTTCCTAGCCG